ACTTCATAAATCTGGAGTGTTAACTTATCTATTATTCTATATATCATATATATCTATATATATCATATATATGTATATACACATATGTATCTATATATGTCATTGTTTGGTTAACAAATTAATCTTTAATTTCGATAACTTTCTCATTTCACCCGAAGAGCGATCAACTTCGATCTTATCTTATGCTTAACTTTGAGTAAAGAAAGCGATTATAAACTATATGAAAAGTGAGAGCGTTTAAGAGTTGTTTGTTTTTGAGAATGTCAACGAATATTATAGGTTTTTCTAGAAGAGTTTAGTTCGATTTAATGTAAATTAACGTAATTATTCTAGTTATTTTAACCTAAATCATGGACTAATCATATTCGCGATAAATATCTGAAGTTAAGCTAAGCTAGTTTGAGATGAACTAGATCCATGGCCACCTAATTTGAATAATAATAGTAGCCCTTAATAATTATATAAAGGTTGTTCTTGTATTATATTTAGTTGTTCTATCAATATATCATTTTAATTGTGTAGAAAAAAGCTTCATATAATTTGATTAATTTTTTTTTTATTTAAATACTACATTTATTTAGAAATCTATGTGTACAATATTTTACCTTGTAATCTTTGGTATTTATATAGGTTAGTTTTTTTTTGTATTTTTTTTTTTTAAATTCCCAGGGCACATAAAACTTTAGCTGCGAAGTTTCGTTTACATATTTTTTATACAGAACCTTATCTTGGAGCTGTCATGTTTTATGGATCTCAATTTGGGCTCAACTATATTTAGAAATGTATATATATAGTGTGTATATTTATGTATGTATATGTGTATGTATGAAACATGCTATTCCCACGTAAATTGCTTGTTTACATGTGATGTATGCTTATATGAGTGTGTACTGTAAGTATGTATGTGAGTGTGTGTTGGCATGCATGTGTGTGTGTATAGGATTGGAATGCCTATGAACGTATGAGTATGTACATATGTAAATACATAAATAGTCACGTATTTATATCCTCATGTTAGTATGTGCGTGTGTGTGTGTGTGTATGCATACATGCATACATGCATACAAAAATATGCATATAGCCCGTGCCTCTGTATGCATCTGTGAGCTGTCATTCCCGTGTCCTTCAACTTGCCAGCAACAGCAACTGCAACTGCTGCTGCTGCTGCTGCATCTACCTCGTATGTTGATCAATTTGCGCTGTGGCAGAATCCCTTAAAATTACTTTTGACTGCAGTGCGAAAATTCACGTATTTGATGCTCAGAGGGTTGAGCTGGGCTGGGCAGGGCTGGGTCGCAATGTCTGCCCCGGCAATGATTGAATGAAAGGCTAAAAGGGGATTTCAGGAATTTCAACTTGCACAAAAAAAGTTGCACACTCAAACCCACACACACACAGACACACATGCACACACAGCCAGCACATACTATATACAGAAATAACCTCAAACAAGGACGTTTGCTGTGTGCGAGCAACATTTCGCCCAGGCTCAATTTGTGGGCGGCATCCATTTACCGTATATACATATACATATATTACATAAGCGCAGCATACATAGTCAAACACGCACACACACATACACATGTAGAGTGAACGTCACAGTAATGCAATTTACAGCTTTGCCCAAACGCCCGAAAATGTGCTCGCCCAGCTCTCGTTGTCTCTCGCAATTACTTTACTCTGCTGACTGCGACTGCGGCTGCGACTGAGACAGCGGCAGCGGCTGCTGCTGCTTCTACTGCTACTGCTGTTGTTTACTATTACTTCTCGTTCTCTCTCACTGCTGTCGCTCGCTCTCTTCGCCGTTTGGCGCAACAAATGTTGCCATTGCTCTTCTCGCTGTTGTTGTTGGTTTTGCTTTCCTGCTTGGCTCTCTGCACTTCCCTAACCGGGGCGCAGTTTTAGCTGGATTGATTTTTCGGGCCCGCCTCACTGCGCATGCCGGGCATCTGGCGAGCCGCTCTTGGCAAATGCAATTGCTGCTCACCATGTATATACATATATACAGTCCCTACACACACACAGATGGACATACATAGATACTATATGCTCTGTGTTGTTTTTTGTGCCTGAGTCATGCGCCCACCCACAGCCAGCAACATAATTTCCAGCCATAGCTGGAAACTGCAGCATTACCTTATATACATGTACATGTATATATAACTGTTATATACCTATTCATATATACTTAGTGTATGTTCTACATGGCCATATTTTAAGTGCTTTGGGCTCGTTGCGTTGTTCTCTGGGCGCTTAAAGCGCTTAATGCGGCTTTAAAAAAAAAAAAAAAATGAATATCTTTTGGCAAACGGATGACAGAGCATTGGGGCTTCAATTCATCAAAGCTGACTGGGATAGACGCGCACAAACACACACATACACATGTGAATGTAAAGCTTTTTTTGAAATCCAATTAAAGCCAAATTCTGATAACATTATTATTAGTATTACTATTGTTATTATTGTTAACTGGAATTGGCAATGTGAACCAAATTCTTAGATTTCCACTAAAAAAAAAACGAAACTAGTCTAGACTAAAAATATGTATGTATATCAGGTATACTTTATCGAAATTATAGTTTGATAGATCGATTGTCTGGATTCTTGCTTAAGTAAATTATATAGGAACTTGTTGGAACATGTTTTTTCGCATGTGCGTTAGTTGCCATGAATAAAATATATTCCTTAAAAAGTATAAAATTATAGTATATGAGTGTTACTTGTCTGAATGTGTATTGTTGTATATACATATATCGAAATTGTGGCTGAGGTCCGTCTTTTTCTAAATCGTTGATCCATATATCTATAATGCATAAGGTTCTTGTCTCATAAGAGGACACGTAGAACATATTTCATATATTACATTCAAAAACAGAAAATGTTTAAATATTAAGAGGACAACTCGAGAAAATACATTTACATACCACCACCTATATATTACATACACAGTATTTGTGGATTCCTGTCATTTCCAATAACTAATAACGTGCCCTTAGCATATTCGTGGCATATTTCGAAAGCGGTTTCTCTTCCTCTTCTTCGCACAAAAGGAATGTCGTGAACAGTTTTAACTAAAGGTCGTCGCGCCTGTATTTTCCCCTGTTGGATAGAAAATAGGCCTGTCATTTGTTTCACCTTCTTCTGGGCCTTTTTGCGTCGCATGTTAATTTATGGCTGGGGTTGATTTTTCATGCCAGGTAGCGCGAAACACCAAGTTTTTACCTGAGTATTGCGTCGTTACATTTTCTTTTGTTGGTGTCCACCCTAATGATAACAGCGAGCAATAACATAAACAAACATTTGCTGACACTGTTAGTAACAGTTTGCTGTTATTAGCTGCTTGAAGAGTAACGCTACTATTAGTTATCTGTAGCTGCATCAATTATTGTTATTGTACTTATATATTTTAAATTGAATATTTATATATTTTAGTATAATATTGATTAATTGCAATGTGCTTGCACTCATTTGGCGCTGTTAATAAAAATAATACAACTTGGCAGCCCGCACATGCTTGGTGATCTGGCAACATTGTGCTGCGATCGCCGCTCGTGTTTGGTTACGCGAATATCGGCATGAAAACGGATTGAGCAATTAGTAGAAGCGACAACGCGATCAGCGAAACTGTATAAAATAAAATCCGCAAAATAAAGAGCAATATTAAAAAAATAGATGTAATAAAAAATTTTCTGTATCAAACAAATAACAACAAATACTGTGTGTGTGCATGTGTGTAAATATTAAGAAGAAACCGGTTTTGATATATTTTTTTTTTGCTTTGCGCTCTCTACTGTCCAGGCACCGGCTACAGCTACAACTACAGCTTCAGCGCCAGCTCTTGTTTATGTGTGTGCGTGCGTTTGTGTGTTCGCAAATAAAATACAAAAAAAAAAATTAAATACAAGAAAAAAGTTCTGCCGCGTAAACAGACGACGACGTCGGCAGACGTTGAAAAATTTGGCGCCGTTTCTTTCTTTTATATATATATAATTTTTTTCGCCGGTGAAATTTTTGCTCGCGTGTGTGTTTGTTTCATATACATATTTTGTTGTTGAAGAAATTAAATATTGCATATAAATATTTCTTTAAAATACAATTGGCCCGATTTCATTTGCGCCCATGTTAGAAAACAAAAGGCGCCCATTTGGCGCTGCTGAGAAAAAGCCGATCCTTCCACGGATACCCTTTCCATACAGCACCTGTAGCAGCAGCCGCCGAAAATTGACAAGGTTTTTTGTATAAAAACTATTATGCGGAGGTGTGTGTGTGTGTCTGTGCTTGTGGGTGGTGGTGGTTTCATTATATAAATATTAATTATGTCAAAAGCAATTCCAGAATACGCTGCATTTGGTTTACAGTGTTAAAAAACAGCGCGAAGAAAACGTTTGCTTGCTGATCTTGTGACTGCTAGACTGTAAATGCTCAAAACAATGAATGTCAAACGGTGACCGAAACGATTGGAAACTGTTTTGCAGTGGGTTAGAGTAGGTCAACACAATAGGCTATCGCTATAAAAAACGGTTCTTATATAAAATTATGATTTTAATTTTTGTGCCAATATAAACGCAATGTTTGCCAAACGGTGAACAGCCCATGGATGAGCTGCAAAATTGTTTTGGCTTTATCTTTAGAGTAGGTCAATAGCTGGCCATCTCGCTCACACGCGCTGTTAATGTCAAACAGTGACTGTCAAACGGTGTTTGTGTGTGTGTTAAAGCAAAAGACTAGCTGAAAACTTAGAGATGTTAATCAAGGACTCTGAAACTGTGTTGATAACAATTTTGTGCTCTATTTAAAATGTACTTTTAATTTTACCGGTGTTCAAGTGATATATGATACACATATACATTGTAAAGACATGCATATATATAGCTTAAATAACAGACATTCTACCCATATACAACAACTTCATTCGCATTATGAATAGAATAACAAACATTATACACAAGTTGTCAACTGTTTTGCTTATCCGCTTTCAACGATTTCTTCTGTTATTGCAGGTCTACAGAAGAACCACCGACAAACAGCTTCGAAAGGAACTATTACGATCGCAGCCGCTTAGTCTATCAAGCCAGCAACGCAGCAGCAGCAGTAGCGACAACTGCCAACAGCAACACAAACAGCAACAGCAACAGCAGCAGCGATAGATCGCGCGCCCGAGATCGTCTTTACAGGAATGGTTCAGCAGCAGCCGCAGCAGCAGCAACAGCAGCAGTTGGTGCGTCAGCTACAAGTAGCAACAGCAACACGACGACAACGACAGCAGCAACAGCAGCAGCTGCAGCGGGAGTGGGCGCGGTTGCAATTGCAGCTGGAGCAGCGACAGCAGCAGGAGCAGGACAAGCAACTGGTGGTGCCGGATTCGGAGTGGGTGGATTTGGTGGTGGTGGTGGGCCACCATTGGGCGATCGGAGCAACAACAACAACATCATTAACCAAAACACACGCGTACCGCAGTCATGGTACGAAGCTGCGGCTACTGCGACAGCGCATCTGAAAAGTCCTGGTGGCAGTGGCAATGCCGGCGTCTCAGCAGCTGGCAGCATAATGAGCTCACCGATCAATCATCATTCACATCCACATCCACATCAGCATCAGCATCATCACTACAACAACACATCCGCCTCGTATTCATCACCCGCCCACTCGCATACGATAGCAGCAGCGGCGGCGGCAGCCGCAGCAGCAGCGGCGTCCATTACGACGGCCATGCACCGGAGTGTGGCGTATGCGGGCAGTGCTGCGGATGAAGCAACAACCACTTTAAATTCTGCCCGCAAAATTCACCTGCACCACAACAACAACAGCAGCAGTGGCAGCAGCAGCAGCAGTAGAAGTCCCGCTGCTGGTGGTGTCAGCAAACTAAATAAGCTGCTCAAAACGACGGCAGCAGCGCGCTGCGGCTCCGAGTCGCCTTTGAGTGGTGCAGCGGCAGTGGCAGCGGCAGCGGCAGCGGCAGCAGCGACGACAAGTACAATCACAAACAATAGTTTTAGTAGTAATAGTTTAAATAATACAATAAACACGGCCACTCCAACGATGCCAATTGCAACAACAGCAACATCTACAAGTGGCAACAGTAATAGCAACAGCAACAGCAACAGCAACAGTGGCGACATTTTAAATGTTGCCGCTGCCGCGTTGGCCGCCGTCGTGGACAATGGCAATGCGACAACACAGAATGTGAACGATGGTCGAGCACCGCGACATCATTTGCATGGACGTAGCACCACCTCGTCCAGTCGCTCCCATTCACGATCGCCGAGCAGTTATAGTAGCTCGCACAGCTCATCGTCGGCCTCATCGCACACATCGTCGCATTCGCACGCGTCCAGCCCGATATCGGGCAATTGTGCCGATGCACTCGTTGGTGGCGTTGGTGGCATTGCAGGAACAGCGCACCGCAGCTCACGCAGTTTGCAGTCCTGTGTGACAGTTGGCAGTAAGTAGACGACAGAGCTGATTGATACCGACTCTATATTAGATTGACTCAAATTCTTTAATTTATCGCAGGCAACTCTTCAAATCCCAGTGGCAATGTGGGCGGCGGGTGTGGCTCCAGTAGCAGCAGCAGCAGCAGTTCTAGCAGCAGCAGCAGCTCCTGTTTGGCCGCCAATCCGGTGGTTCATTCCGAAGATAATCGTCCGTTGGCGATACGAGTCCGTAACCTGCCCGCCCGTTCCTCGGACACATCCCTCAAGGATGGTCTCTTTCACGAGTACAAAAAGCATGGCAAAGTCACGTGGGTCAAGGTTGTGGGCCAGAATTCGGAACGCTATGCGCTCGTCTGCTTTAAGAAACCGGACGATGTGGAGAAGGCACTGGAAGTGTCCCATGATAAACATTTCTTTGGCTGTAAAATCGAAGTGGAGCCCTATCAGGGCTACGATGTGGAGGACAATGAGTTTCGACCCTATGAGGCCGAACTGGACGAATACCATCCCAAGTCCACACGAACGCTATTCATTGGCAATCTGGAGAAGGATATTACGGCGAGTGAGCTGCGTGTCCACTTCGAAAGCTTTGGCGAAATCATCGAGATCGACATCAAGAAGCAAGGACTCAATGCCTACGCCTTTTGTCAGTATTCGGACATTGTGTCTGTGGTGAAAGCGATGCGGAAAATGGATGGCGAGCATTTGGGCAGCAATCGCATCAAGCTCGGCTTTGGCAAGTCCATGCCAACGAATTGCGTATGGATTGATGGCGTGGGCGAGAAGGTGTCCGAGTCGTTTTTGCAATCGCAATTCACGCGCTTTGGCACTGTGACCAAGGTGAGCATCGATCGCATGCGGCAATTAGCTTTGGTGTTGTACGATCAGGTGCAGAACGCTCAGGCGGCTGTCAAGGAAATGCGCGGCACGATAATGCGTGGACGCAAGCTCCAAGTGGACTTTGCGTCGCACGAGTGCCAGGACGCCTTCTATGACAAGCTGGAGAAGCAGCAGCAACAGCAGCAACAACAGCAGCAGCTGCAACCTCAACCGCAGCCACAACAGCCAGCACAACAGCCCAATGCGGGTAAGTAACTGCAGCTGGAGTTAAATAGAGATGATTCCAATTGATATCTTTTACGCCTTTAGCATCTGCCTCCTCGCGCTTTAATCGCTACGAGTCATCACAGTCACGTTCGCGAGCCTCGTCCTTCAGTCGGCATCAGAACTCGAACGATGGTTGTTCGCCGGGCGGCAATACGCCGGGCAGCAGCACCGCCTCCACCGCCACCGCCAGCAGCAGCAGCAGCAGCGGGAGCATCTCGGCTAGCAATGCGATGCCAGCGCCGAGTCTTGCTTCGGCAGTTGTGAGCGGAAACAGTGGAGGAGCAACCGCAGCGTTGTCCTCGACTGCGGGTTGCCCACAGAATGCCATGCCCATGTCGCCGGCGGCGATGGTGCAGGCGCGTATGCGTATGGCGCGCAATGCGAGGCACACCATCGACTTTGACTTCAACGATACGGGTCGACGGTTTCGCAACTTTGACGAGCACGCGAGCAACAACAACGGCAGCAGTGGCAACAATCAAATGCAGGACGAGGAGGCGAACGCGGCGGTGCGCTCAGATTCGCCCGTCATTGCACGCCTCGGACCCGCTGTCAATAGCAGCAGCGCCAGTGGGAGCGGGAGTGGCACTCCGATCAGCGACACGCTCGAGGGGACGCTGAACAGCAGCGGAAGCAACAGTCGTCGGCGTTGTGGTAAGACATCTGTAGATTTGCGCCATCAAGTGCACAATCCACGTTTCCAATTGCCAGAACAACAACAACTTGACGAGTGCCCGTCCAGTGGTGATGAGGGCGTGGTCAGTCCGCGCAAGCGCATCAAAATGGATTACCATCATCATCATCATTCCAATGCCAGTGCGGTGAGTCTAAGCGATAATTCCATACCATCAAATATACAAATAATTCAATGATGTTTCCTGTCTTAGCAACTGCATATGCTGGATCAGAACAGCGACTCGTTGGCCTCTGGTCATGGCAGCAGCAGCAACAGCAACAACAACAACAAGCCCAGTCCGCTGTCCAACTGTGATGTAATACATGATCCTCTCAATCGCAAAAGCGAAATTCGTCGCGTCTCGGAGGCGAATAAATTTTCAGCGATTGCACCACCGCCCACACAACACCACAATATGATGCTCAGCAGCCGGCGGCCATCGATTGATGTTGGCGCCTTGACAGCGCTGTCCAATTCGTCGGCCTTTCGCCACGGCCTGGTCGGCGCGAGCAGCATGGATCAGCAGCATCTGATGAATGCATCGCTGGCAGCGAAACGACGTCGAGTTACAGCTAGCACGCTGCAGCTCTCGCAGCCGCAGCCGCTGCAACAGCAGCAGTCAACGTCGTCGTCGTCGTCGTCATCGATGTTGTTGTCCTCCTCATCCGCCGCAGCCGCCGCCAACAGCAATAGCAGCAGCAACAGCTGTGGATTACCACCTACGCTGGCAGCGCCCATGCCCAATGATGACTATCATCATCATGCGTCGCGTGGCCGGGGCCATCAGCTACATTCCCATCACTCACACGAGGCCAGCGGGGGCGAGAGCGCCGACGGCTCACGGCCGGGCACGCCGCTGTGCGATGAACGGCCAGAGGTGTTGCCCACCGAGCCGCGTCGTCTGCCGCCGGCAAGGGAACGGACACGGGAGCGCGTGCGCGAGGTAATGTGGCTGCCGTTGCCCAAATTCGGCGTGCTCTTCTTTCAACAGCAGCGGAGTGCTGGCAGCAGTGGCAGTGGCGCGGGTAGCGGCGTGTCCAGCTACCTGCAGCAGCTGACGACGACAGCATCGTTGCTCAACAATAACTCTAGTCTAAGTGCAGGAGCTGCGACGACAACCTCAGCATCATCATCGTCAGCAACTGCGTCCAGTTTATCGTTTCTGCCCTCACCCACGTTACGCTATTGGCGCTCCTCCAATCACCACCATCACCAGCACCACCATCACCATCAGCAGCAGCAGCAGCAGCAGCAGCAACAACAGCAGCAGCAACAACAACAGCTGCAGCAATCCTCGTCGTCCTCCTCATCGATTGGCCTAATGGCCAGTCCGGCGCGTCCTCGCTCGCTGAGCTCCAACTCAAGCGACTCGGATGTGCCCAGTGGCCAGACGGGTGGCAGCCCCTCGTTGGATGAGCGACTGCGCAACTTTGAGGAGAACTACGAGCGCTGGTCCGGTGGCAGCAGCAGCACCAATCCCAACCATGGCCATGGCAGTCATGGGCATAGCAGCAGCAGCAGCCAGTCGAATGCGCTGCCCTCGTGGCAGCTGTCGATGCACTCGACGAACCTCAGTGGTCTCAGCTCGTCGCATCAGGCTGGTTCCGGCAACAGCAACAGCTCCAGCGGCACTGTCTCCAGTTCGACGAGCAATTCGCGTCACAAATTTCTTGACATTGACGAGCTGCAGCCGTCGGACATTGTCAAGTCGCTGTTGGCCAAGAAGTCCGTCTTCGACGATGACTTTCAGCGCCTCAAGAAGAACCAATGGTACGAGCCGGCAAGCACTGATTTCGGCACGGGCTCCACAAGCTCGGCGAATGCGCGGCATGGTGGCCTATGCAGTGGTAACACCTCGCCAGCTTTGCCCAATTTAGCGGCAACGAAGACAACGCCCATCATAGCCAACTGCAGCAGCAGCAACAGCAGCAATCTGGGCGGCAACAGCACCGGCAGCAGCAGCAGCTGCAAGACAGGCGGTCTGCTGCAGCGTTTGAGCAGCTTGTCGCCCATGAATTCGCCGCAAGCGTCCATGTCGCCTTACAACAGCCCGTCGCCGTCGCCCTCGGTCGTTGGTGTTCAGTTGGCCAAGCCCAGCTTGAGCAGCAGCTGCAACAGCAGCAGCAGTACAACAACAGCAGCAGCAACGACAGCGGCTGCAACAGCAACGGCGGCAGCAGCAGCAGCTGCCACCAAGGGATTGCAGTATCCATTTCCCAGTCACCCGCCATTGCCAAACACGGCTGCTCCGCCGCCGGCGATACAACCAGCGCCGCCACCGCCACCGGAGGTGCCCAAGACGAAGCCAACCACGTCCTCCTCTGCGGCCAGTCAATCGCTCAGCAAGAGTCTCAGTGTGCCAGGGGCAACGACAGAGGCGCGATCTGTGCTGCAGAAGTCCGTCTCAGTGCCGGGAAGCACGAATGTGGGCACCACTGGAAGCAGCAGTGCATCCTCTAACGGTAACAGTTCCTCAACAGCAACAGCAACAGCCACACACGTACAAAAGCAAACGCCAAACCATTCAATGGATGAAGTGGAGTCCAAAGGCAATGCCAAAAGCTCAAGCTCAAGTGCAGCAACCGCGACGAGCTCCTCGACGTCCAAGAAGAACAGCAGCAGCAGCGATAAGTCGCACAGCAGCAAACACAATAATCGCTCCGATTCGGAAAAGAAGTCCAAGAAGTCTTCCTCCTCCTCCTCATCGTCCGCAAATGCGACTAGTTCGGAGAAGCGCAAGAATTCGGCCACATCGCAATCCTCCAAGTCGGCAACGCCCAAAGTGGACGATGAGTCCAGCGATTCGGATGAGCCACTGGAGAAGCCTGACAAGGAGCAATCACAGCAACGTCTGGAGCGCGAGAAGGAGAAGGAGAAGGCGCAGCATAAGGAGAGACAGGAGCGTGAGAAACGTGAGAAGGAGCTGCGCAAGCAACAGGAGCGTGAGGAAAAAGAGCGCAAAGCCCAAGAGGAACGTGAGCGTGAAGAGCGCAAAGCCAAAGAAGAAAAGGAAAAGGAGCGAGAGCGTGAACGAGAACGTGAACGTGAAAGGGAACGTGAACGTGAACGGGAACGTGAAAGAAAAGCTCAAGAGGAGCGTGAGCAAAAGGAGCGCGAGGAGCTACGCGAGAAGGAGCAGCGCGAAAAGGAGCTACGCGAAAAGGAACAGCGCGAGAAGGAGCAGCGTGAGCAGGAGGCACGGCATGCACGCATGCGTGACATGTGCGCCTATCACAAAAACAAATCCGATGCGAGTTCCGAGGCGAGCAGCTTCTACGCCCACAATGCAGCCACGCCCAGTGAGAACAATAAAGAAAATGCTGCAGCTACTGATATGGCAACACAGCCAACAACAACAACAACAGCAGCAGCTGGAGCTGGTGCAGGAGCAGCAACTGTTGCTAGCTCAGCCCCAACTGAGAGCAACAGCAACAAGGATCGTTCACGCAAATCCTCGCGGAATTCACCAACGCCCAGCAGTGGACGACAGCACAAGCGACGCCTCAGCTCGCAGGACAGCAACCACAGCGGTGGCGGCGGTGCTGGTGGTGGACAGAATCATGAGGATTATGTGAAACGCATACGCATGGAAAACCCGAACAGCACTACGAGCAATCCTCATCAGCGGCTCAGCGATCGTCGTGACTCCAAGGAGCACAAGAACAGCAGCAGCAGCGGCGGCTGCAAGGAGGAGAAGACCAGCTCCTCGTCCAAGTCGCATGGCAACAGCAGCAGCAACAGCAGTTCCAAGCACCATCGGCGCGACAAGCATCACAGCAAAAGCACCAGCAGCACTGAGATCAATCATACCGAATTGGATAACAAGCAGCAACAGCAACAGCAACAACAGCTGCAACAGCAGCAGCAGCAGCAGCAGCAGCAACAACAGCAGCAGTTGCACACGCTCAACACCAGCGAGGAGGAGCAACAGCAGCCCTCCCAGTCGCAGCAGCAACAGCAGCAGCAATCGCAGTTGCTGCATAAGCAACGGGAGCATCATCATCATGGCAGCTCCTCGTCGTCGTCGCGGCACAAAAGCAAACGAGATCACCATCATCATCGCGAGAAGAAGCGGCATTCGGTGGCCGAGTCCACCAATACGGATGAGGAGCCCAGCCACAATCCACACAGACGCATCTCAGCAGCGGGTAGCTCGGCAGGCGAGCTTAGCTCGAACACAAATACCTCCAGCAGCAAGTTGCAGCAGCACCATCAGCAGCAGCAGCAGCAGCAACAGCATCAACAACAACAGGCGCAGCAGCAGCAGCAGCAGCAATCGCATCATCATCATCATCATCGGCGCAGCGTGGACCGCAAATCGTCACGCGGCTCTGATGAGGGCGGCGCCTCCTCGAAGAGCGCTTCGCAGCCGCGCAAGATGATGCTCAGCTCCGCGGATTCAGATGACACAGACGATGCATCCAAGAAGCATTCCATATTTGATATACCCGACGATTGTCCCAACGTATCAATGTACGATAAAGTGAAGGCGCGCAGCTGCAAGAATATGCAGCGCCAAGCCGAGGAGAAGAAGATCAAAGCCAAGTTCTCACAGCTGAAGCAGTCGCGTGCGAAAAAGAAACGATCCACCAGCTACGACGGAGACAGCGATACGGAGTTCGAGGATCGCATGCATCATCGGCTCAGCGGCAGCAGCAGCTTCCATGGGCGCAATCATGGGGGCCTGAGCAGCAGCGACGATGACATGGATGATGCCGATGGCTTTCGCAAGATGTCGCACAGTCGCATATTCTCCGACTCGGATGCAGATGGCGAGGTGGATGCGGAGACTGACGATCTCAATGCTAGTCGCATGCGCCAGCAAATGCAACAGAATCTACGACGTCTGTGCGATGGCGACGATAGCTCCGAGGATGAGATTCGTCGCAATGTGATCAGCCACGCGGGCAAACGGAATTGCCTTTCGACGCGTATTGCCTCCGATTCGGAGTCGCAGTCGCAGCCGGCACCGGAACTGATCAACACTAGCATCAAACAGGAGCCGGACATCAAGCAGGAACAGATCTCCGATAACGAAATAAAGTATTCCAAATCACGTCACAATTCGCACTCCTCCAACGAGGAGCGCAAGCTGAAGACGGACTTTAAGAAGGAGTATAACGAGTTCTTCAACACCGGCTACACGAACTATGTGGGCGACAGCAGCTCGGCCAAGATCAAGGATTACTCTCCGGAGACGCGCAAGAAGCACAAGAAGAGCAAGAAGCGTCTCAAGTCCTCAGCCGAGAGCAGCTCCACCATTACCGTTGCTCCTGCCCCTGCTGCAACGAGCAGCATCTTCGATGTGACCGAATGCAAGCCCAACAAATTCGACAGCTTCGATGAGCTGAAAACGGAGCCGGTGACAATCGCAGCTGCTCTGGAGGTGAACGCAAGCTCGGTGGCGGCCAGCGAGCGACGGAAGCACAAGGAGCGCAAAGAGAAGAAACGCGAGAAGCTGCGCAACATGAGCGAAACCAATGCTGCCGGCGGCTCTGTGGAGCAACTGAGCGAGAAGCTGTCCAAGGAGGAGCGTCATCGGCTGAAAAAGTCGAAGAAGTCCAAGAGCTTGGATACATCTGCCCGATTGTACAATGTGAATGCGTCCAATGCCTCCCCACCGACGCCCACCACGTTGAGCACACCGGCTCGAGACTCTGCCAAGCGCAGTGAGGACAAAATGGAGGACATCTTCGGTATTATCTCCGATGAGGAAGAGGACGAGGAGGAATCGCAGTTGACCGACGATCAGCCCGACACGACTAAGGCACAGCTCTCCACCACTGGACCCATGGTGTCCGCTGCACTGCAAACGTACAAGCAGGAGCCGCCTCTGCTCAGCCACAACAGCAGCAACAAGGAGCCGGCGATACAGCAACAGCAGCAGCAGCAGCAGCAACTGCAACAGCTGCAGCATGAGGAGCTCGAAGTGGAGCGGAGTGAACGCGAGCGACATCGCAAAGAGAAGCGCGAAAAGAAGCGACGCGAGAAGTCAGCACGCGAGCCAAAGCAGCAGCAGCAACAGCAACTACAACAGCAGCAGCAGCAGCAGCAACAACAAAATGCCAGCAAACTGGACGACGACAATAGCGTCGATATGGATGAGGCGGGCCGTGCGTTGGAGGCGCAGCTTATGGACGACTTTGATAGCAACAAGATGCCCGAGGATGCCACGCCCTCCACAGCAACCACCTACCGCAGCGATATGACGGACGTTTTCCGTTTCTCGGATAACGAGGACAACAACTCCGTCGAGCAGCAGCAACAACAGTTGCAGCTGCACTCGCACTCGAGCGAGAAGCAGTTGGAGTCCAAGGAATCGGTGCACAAGAGCAAGGACAAGAAGAAGAAGAAGAAGCGCTCCAAAGAGGAGAAACAAGAGAAACTCGACAAGCAGCAACAACAACAATTGCAGCTGCGTCGTGAATCAGCTTGTTTGCCACCAGCAACAGCTGCTGCACCAACAGCAGCTGCCGGTTCCTCGACTAGCTCGCTGACTATCAATGTGCAGGCCGCCTCGAAGCATGCCGAGGAGCAGCTGGAGAAGGAATCGAAGCACAGTTCTCCACTCTGCAAGCCGTCGCCCAGTTTGCCCTGTCTCATTGGCGACGATGATGATGAGGAGCCGCCAATAACGACGATGCCCGTCATCAAGCCCTCGTCAGCTAGCAGCAGCAGCAGCAACACGAACAGCAAGAGCAATCGGTTGAACTCCTCCGATGCCCTCTCGCCGGCTCGTGAGAAGCCACGCCTGATCAGCCCCATACCAAAGACGCCCACCATTAGCCAGAGCAACAGCTCCATGCTGTCCACACAGTCAGCGGAAACGCCTGTCAGCAGTGGTGCTGCGCCACTGGTCACCACGCCCACATCCTCAACAGCGGCTGCTGCTGTCGAGTCGAAGAACGCCATAGAGAGCAGCTCACCCACCAGTGCAGCCCTGAATAAGAAGAAGGAGGTCTTCATACCCGGCTTCGATGGTCAGCTGGACTATAAAATAAGCGAGTCGGCGGTGCAATCCATATCGGCAGAGTTGAATAGTGGACTGCTCGACGTATTGGCCAATGAGCCCAAGATACCAGTTGCCTCGCCACCTGGAGCTATCAAGACGCTGGACAAGCTGGAGGACAGCAAATCCCGAGTTACCATCTCACAGGAGGAGACTGAGAGCGCTGTGTCCGCACTGCTCGGTGAAAGCTTTGGCACATCCTCAACGGCAGACTACTCGCTGGATGGCATGGATGATATGACCCCAACGGTTTCGGAGGTGGCTGTCGCCGAGCCCGATGAGGAGGCAGCACTCGCTGCCAAGGCGATCGAGGCAGCTGTCGAAGAGGCTGCCACAGAACCAGAACCTGAACCAGAGCCTGAACCCGAACCCGAAGCTGAACCTGAACCTGAACCGGAGCCAGTTGTCGTCTCCGTGGGCGTAGTGCTCGATGCCGAGGAAGTGAACAAGGCGGTGCAGAGTTTGCGCAACGAGGACATGGACATCAAGGCGGACACGCCACAATCCGAGCGCGATCTGCAAATCGACACAGACACCGAGGAGAATGCCGACGAGGCGGACAGCAGCGGACCCAGTCTGAAGATCGACGAGACCGCACCACAGAACAGTGGCTCCGACAAGTCAACGTCGAGTGGTGCTGACAAGTCCCCTGAGCCGAGCAGCGAGTCCAGTACACGGTCCAGGCAGACAGTCGAGACTGCGCAGCCCACCGTCATAACCAAGCTGCCGACTGCAGTGCCAGTGCCGACAACAGTTGCAGCCGCATTGCTGCCCAATGCCAGCAACAGCAGCAGCAGCAGCAGCAGCACTCCAACCAAGTCGACTGCGCAGCAGCTGCTGAAGATTGAGCCGCCAACCATTAGCAAGTTGCAACAGCCACTCGTGCAGCCAGTGCAAACGGTGCTCCCAGCACCGACAGTATCACCATCGGCAGCACCAGCACCAGCACCAGCAGTGGCATCAGCAGCAACAACAACTACAGCAGTAGCAGCAGCAGCAACAACAACAACATCAACTACTGCTGCAGCAACAGCTGTGCGACCGGCAACGCCCGTCATCAACTTGGATCTGTCCAATGTGATGGCCAACTGCTCCAATGCAACAAGCAGCAACAGCTCGGCCTCGCTGTCCTTTGGCAGTCCAACAACGACGCAGAAAGCAATGCCACTGGCCTCCACGCCCAAGCAAACGCCAGCAACAACCCAGCAACAGCAACAGCATCAGGCAATGCCGCAGCGCACGCAATCGCTCATCATGCAGCCGCCGACAATATCTATACCGGATCAAACGCCTCATTTTGTGGTGCCGCATTTGATATTGTCGCCGCAGCAGCAGCACCACCAACAACAACAACAGCAACAGCAGCAACAACACCAACAGCAAGCGCCTCCTGGCACCTATCTAATGGGCATACGAGCGCCGTCGCCGCATAGTCCGCTGTTGTCTCCGGGACGCGGCACGCCCAATCGCCAGCATAGTCCAGCCGCCCGCCAAATAGCGCCAGCACAGCAGCAACATCCGCTGGCTTCGCCTACAGGCAACAGCAACATGAACATGAGTCCGTTGCCCAGTCCCACAGCGCGTGGAGTTGCCACAACCACGACGACATCGCCCACAACCAGCGGCAAGATGCCAACACCTAACAGTTACCTTCCACGCCCACCGATGCATCAGCAACAACAACAGCAGCTGCAGCAGCAGCAACAACACCAGCAACAATCTTCACCGGGCAGCATGCCCAAGTCTGTCATTGAGCTGCAATCAGGCGCAGGAGTTGCTGCTGGCCAGGGGCCACAATTGCTGCCGATGCCGTTGCAGAAAATGCCGCCATTGCCCGTGCCGCATCACCCGACAATCATTAGCAAGGTTGTCACCGTGCAGCCACAGCAGGCGATACAGACACAAGTGGCCAGCTCGCCGCCCATGGGTAGCCTGCCGCCGCATAAGAATTTGCATGTGAATGCCCAACAACATCAGCAGCAGCAGCAACAACAACAACAACAGCAGCAGCAGCAGCAGCAACAACTGTCTCCACAAATGTTGTCTAAGATGAACGTGCATCAGCAACAGCAACAGCAGCAGCAGCAGCATCAACAACAGCAACAACAACATCAGCAACAGATGCAGAAGTTCATCCATGCACATCAACAACAACAAATGCTAGACCGCAAGCAACAGCGACAACAGCATATGCAGCCACAGCACCAACAGTTGCACCAGCAACAGCAGCCGCAACAACAACACCAGCAGCAGCAAGGACATCCACAACAACAACACTTGCAGCAGCAAATGCAACATCCGCCATTGTCACCGGGTCATCATCATGCACATCCTACGCAACAGCAACAGCAGCAGCAACATCAAGCACGCCAGCAATATCAGGCGCAACAGCAGCAACATCAACAGCAGATGCAACACCAACATCAGCAGCACCAGATGCATCAACAACAACAACAACAACAGCAGCAGCAACAGCAGCAATTGCACATACAAAAGCTGCAACAGCAATTGCATACAGCGCATCAGCAACAGCATCAGTCGTTGACGCATTTGACACCGCAGCCGCCTGTGTTTACACAACAACAACAACAGCAGCAACTGCCACGCAACGTGCAACAACAACTGAGCCCAACGGGCATCAATCCCAGTGCACACAGCTCGCACAGTCCACAGGCGCAGCAACAGCAGCAACAGCAGCAGCTGCATACCGCTGCCATTCTGGTACGTGCGCCCACTCAACAACAGCAACAACAACAACAGCAGCAACAGCCGCAGCAGCAACACCAACAACCACAGCAGCAACAACAACAGTCGCTCAATGTTATACAGAGCGCGCCAGCAGCACAAAAAATAATTGTGCAGCAGCAAATTGTGCCTGCACCAACATCGATGCACTATCCGCCGCCACCGAAGGAGACGGCGCCTGCTGTAGAGTCGCCCGTGCTGCCGGTGAAGACTTCGGAGAGCGTTTCCGTAATACGTACGCCCACGCCCACCATCAGCCTGGCCAACTCGCCGCAGGCAACAAAGGTTGCAGCAGCAGCAGCGGCGGCAGCAGCAGCAGCTGCTTCTCTGCTGACCGAGGAGAATGTCATCAAGATCTCCCAGCCCAAGCAGGATGAGCTAATCGAGCAGGACTCGAAGGAGGTGGACAGCGACTACTGGTCCGCCAAGGAGGTGAACATTGACAGCGTCATCAAGAAGCTTGATCCGGCAACAGCTGCTGCAGCAGCAGCGGCCGCAGCTGTCAAGGACGACAACCAGAACAAACGAGCAGCAACACAAATGCAGCAGCAGCAACAGCAGCAGCAGCAGCAACAACAGCAACAGCAACCACCTGTAACTGAATTGGCCTCAGCTGAAGCAACACCTTCGTTGCCCAGTGAGCCGCCAGCAACTGCAACAGCTGTAACTGCAGCAACAACAGCACCAACAGTTGCTGCCAATGTCAGCTCCAATGATCATGATACCGAGGATGAAACCGAGACGCGTCAACTCACGGTGAAAGCTCTCAAGCAACTAGGTCGACCGCCAAGCGCGCGTGGCACGGCAGCCAAACGTGGACGTCAGCCACGTGGCGCCAAGGCCAAGCAAGCTGCCGGACTGCCAGCAACAGTTACGGAGCCCAGTCCGTTGCTGACGCCGGGCGACAACGGCGTGCACACACGCCTGCGGAAGCCTGTGGCGGCGCCAGTGACGCGCGGACGCAAGGGTAGACCGCCGCGGAACTTGTTGCTGCAGCAACAGCAGCTGCAACAGCAACAGCTGGCCCAACAGCAGCAGCTTGCACAGCAGCAACAGCAGCAGAAGGAGCCTGTGCCGCCTGCACTTTTGACAATGCCTGTGCCCACAGCCGCTGAGAAGAAGGCCAGGAATCAGGCATTGACACAAGCCAGCGGATCCAGTCAGGATATATACGAGTTCCATGACGATGTTGGCGATGCTGAGCCAAAGATAAAGGCAACTCCAGTTGTTGCCACAGCGGCAGCACCTGCTGCCGATGACCCGCGACCGCGACTCATACTGACCATCAACAAGCTGAAGAATAGCAGCGAACTGGAGAGTCAAGCGGAAGCGACGCAGCCACAACAACAACAGCAGCCGCAGCAGCAGCAACCACAGCTGGAGCACAACACGGACAGCTCGGAGTCGTGCAATACGCGTAAGTCGCGCCGTCTGCAAGAGAAGGAGGATCGCAGCACTGTGGACGATATCATCGAGGATGTAGTGCGCAACACTAATACACAACAGCAGCAACAACTTCAGCAGCAATTGCAACAACAGCAGCAGCAACAGCCGCAACAACAACAGCAGGCGCAGCAACAACAGCAACAGCCGCAGCAACAATTGCCCAAAGGAGCGCAAACGCCACCGCGACGCTCCGGTCGCCATGCGCAGGCTAAGAAACCGGATGCTGTACAAACGCCGAATGCGGTGGGCAGACCTCGACGCTCCAAGGAACGGAAGACCATATGTGAGCCACCAGCTGGCTTGCAGGAGGAGGCGCAGCCACTGTTGCTGCCGCCACCTGTGGCCCCAGCACCAGCAGCAGCGCCAGCCCCAGCACCAGCAACTGCACCACCAGCAGCAGCAGCAGCTGTTGTTGAACCACCAGCAGCCACACCTATGCAGCTGCAACAGCAACAGCAGCCACCACAGTCAGTCGCTCCGCCGCACATTACCCATGTGCCCGAGGTTAAGGAAACACCGCCAGCTCCTCCTGTCCAGGCAATTGCACCACCACCCGCAGAGCCGCTGCCACTGCCTCCTGTTGTGGTGTCGAAGCCAACGCCGCAGCATCCCAAGAAGAAGGCGATTGCAGCAGCCGAAATCGAGTCCTATCAGGCCATCAATTCGTCCATGCCGCCCATGCATCAAACGGCCGCTCCGGCGGCCACACAGAAGATCACAGGCGGCGCCGCAGATGCGGTGAGCAAGGCGCTGATTGATCCGGTTACGGGCGTCATTACGGCGGGCATGCCGCAGGGCAAGGAGGGCAATTTGCCGGCTGCCAATGCAGCGGCGCCAGCTAACAGCAGCAATGAGGTGACGCCACTGCAGCAACAGCAGCAGCAACATCAACAGCAGCAGCTGCAACAGCAACAACAGCAGCAACAGCTGCAGATCAGCGCCACAGTCATAGCGCCAGCCACGCCCATAACAACGCTGAGCAAGCCTGTGCAGTTGCAAGTGCAGGAGGCAGCGGCAACATTGCTCAACAAGCCGGTCAGTGTGCTGGTCAAGAGTAATGCACCGCCCACCCAGCCTACGCAAATCATACTGCAGCAACAGCAGCAGCAGCAGCAACAACAACAACAACAGCAGCTGCAGCAGTTACCTCCGCAGCCACAACAACAACATGTTGCGCCCAACAAGCAGCCGCTGGTGATGACAACTGTGCTGCAACACGCACAGCACACAACAGTGCGTCCACCGCAACCACTGAAAGCGCACGTGCTCAATCGCGAAAAGAATCTGCAACAGCAACAACAGCAGCAGCAGCAGCAACAACAACAGCAGCAGCAGCAGCAATTGACACCCAGCAAACAGCATCAGCAACCGCCTCATCCCGGTCACATGTTGCTCACAGATGCAGCCGGCAATCAACAATTGTTGCAGCCAAATCTCATAGCGCGCCACATGCTTGGCCAACAGCAGCAGGCGCAGCAGCAGCAGCAGGGACAACAGCAACAACAACACTTGCTGGTCAATATACCACCACCCACAGCGCATTCGCCCCACTCGCCACGCATTACAGCAGCACAACACGTGCAGCAGTCGCAGCAGCAGCCACCCAATGGACCACAGCAGCAACAGCAACAGACGCTGGTCATCAAGCAGGCCACAGCAACAGCATCAACTGTGCATCCACAAATACTGCATGTGGTAAGCTCGAAGGCTTCAGTGTTGCCCGCACAACAGCAGCAGCAGCAGCAGCAACAACAACAACAACAGCCGCCGCAGCTACTGGCGAAACAGAACTTTGGCTATGCGCAGCAGGCGCCAGCACAGCAGCAGCAACCACAGCAACTGTACAAGCAGAAGGCGCCGCAGCCGGTGGTGCAGATGCCACCGCACAATCTACTGCTACCCGCACATGCTAATCTGCTGTTGCAGCCAAAGCCAGCCGCGCATTTGCAGCCACAGCAACATCAGCTGACTCCATCGCCACCGCCGAACAAGCCCATTTCAGTGGTGCACAGTCTGCAGGCGGTGAGCCAGATGCTGCCCGGCAGCGTGGGCAGTCCGCCGCCAATGAAACCAGGCCAACAACAGCCCAATGCGGCAGCAGGTAAGCTAAGCTATGCCATTCACTGGACTCTCGACTCTTTACTCATCAAATCCTTTGCTTGCAGTTTTGCGCACGGCCATTCCGAACATCAGTCCGCAGGGACAGCCGCGCGTTCCGCCGCTGGTATTGCCATCAGGCATGCCAGGCGTGCCACCCTTCGACGCCAGCATGGTAAGCATGGCTTTTAATATGCTAGATATAATGATATGATACACTGTATATATATTTGTACTTAACCTATAAACTAAACATTGATGGTGCTAGCTTAACGATTTACTAACATTTTGCTAATCCTTAATCCTGCCATAAATGGACGCAGCATGACTTGGGCGCCTATGTCAGCGGTCGGCGCACACAGAGTCCTCCGCCAGCGCATCAGCAGGCATCGCCCATAACACCGGTAATGCACAAGTTTTACTTGCGGAGCTTTGAAGTAGCGTAACCCAAAACGGCGACTCAATACATTATACAAAATAATCATGCCCTGTAGCATATACTAATCCCTCATATTTCCCTTACCACTTGCATTTGCAGAACGACACGGCCTATCGTGGTATGACTGCCATGCTATACCAGCATCACATGATGCGCAGCGGGGACTATGATGACAAGATGATCAGCAGCAGCCCGCCATTGGAGCTGCGTCGTCCAGGCAGTGGCCCGCCACGCACCATTGCCGTGCCGCACAGTCTACAAAGTCCACAGGATCGCACCGCAGCGGGTACGTCTATATATACACATACACATTTCAATACAGATATAGTTATTAACATCATATTTACATCTATGCAGACTCCCCGCAAATGGCCCAAGTCTATGTGCACAATACTCGGATACCCCACGCCCACTTCAGCGAGATGGCTACACGTGGCGGGTACTACGAGAGTAGCGGTATACAGTTGGAGCCACCGCCGGCGCATCGTGCTGCCGCTTCGATAAGTGTGGTGGTGCCACCACCGCCGAACGTCGCGAGCGCCAGTCCGTACATCAGTGGCGGTGCCTCTGTCTCCGTGTCCGTGCAGCCAGGTCCACATAGTCTACATCCCAGCCAGGCCAAGCTATTGGAGCGTGAGCGCGAGCAGCGTGAACGCGAAAGGGAGAACGAACGCCTGTCCATGGTGGCAGCAGTTGGTACGTATACAAAAGCCAAACTACTTGATAGACCCATGACTCACTTCGTCTCTCTACGGTATATTGCAGCCAAACAACAGCAGGAACACTTGTCAGCCTCGGTTATGCACGGCGGCATGGAGCTGCCTGCTCAGCCACCGCCGGCAGCAATGGCACCACCGCCGGGTGACTCACTGGTCACGCTGTTGCAGCGGTATCCGGTCATGTGGCAAGGCCTGTTGGCTCTGAAGACAGATCAGGCGGCTGTCCAGATGCACTTTGTGCACGGCAATCCAAACGTGGCGCGCGCTTCGCTGCCCAGCATGGCGGAGAGCACCACGCCCCAATTGCGCATTGCGCAGCGTATGCGACTCGAACAGACTCAGCTGGAGGGCGTGGCCAAGAAGATGCAGGTGCGTACACTAAACACATTAAACCACGTAGAGCAGTTCATAACTAATCATTGCTTTATGCACAGGTGGACAAAGAGCATTGCATGCTATTGGCGTTGCCTTGTGGGCGCGATCATGCGGATGTGCTGCAGCACTCGCGGAATCTGCAGACCGGCTTCATTACATATCTGCAGCAAAAGATGGCCGCTGGAATTGTGAATATACCCATGCCGGGAAGCGATCAGGCAGCATATGTGGTGCACATATTCCCCGCCTGCGATTTTGCCAATGAGAATCTGGAGCGTGCTGCGCCCGATCTCAAAAATCGTGTTGCCGAACTGGCTCATCTATTGATTGTCATTGCCACCGTATAAAAATGCGAAGGCATACACCCTCTGATCTACAAAAATCAACACGAATGTGACTATTAGAAAAACTATCTGCCATGTCTCTGTAAAAATAACTGCTAGAACAACAACAACAACTGAAAAGAGAAAAACACATGTAAAGTAAACAACCAACCAATACAACAACAAATAACTACCAACTACAACAAAGCAAAAACAAGTTACGCTCTTCTAGTATATTAAGTAATTTTAAATAGCGTTTAAACAAAACAAAAGTTTAAAAAAAAAGCAAAACTAAAATCTAAAAAAAAGTAAAAAGAAGATGAACACAAAATGCAAACTTTATTGAATTCAAATGCAAGAGAGAGAGTAAAGGGCGCAATCAATCAATCAAGTTTGGTTGATTGGCCACTAACAAAAACCAATGTAAATCCGTTATACAAAAAATACCCAGAAAAACTCCTCATATACCCTCACATATAATATATAAAAACAAAGAGAAAAAACGCACTTAAATTGCATAAAACTATGTTTGTCAAAATTCTCGTTTCTTTTCTTTTCATTAACATAATACATATAAATAATTTTAACAACATTTTTGAAAGCTTGCAAAGTATCGTTAAGTTTGATCTCAAGAAAGTGTTTATATATTTTTTTTTTGCATATAATTTAAAATGAATATGAAAACAAAACGAAAAGTAAATGTGAAAAGAAAAGAAAGCTTAAGCAAAATACCTAACTGTTTACTGTACTACATACTACTTACTATCCATACATACCCACATAAAAGCATATATACCTACTATCCCTATTCGAAAGGATGATATAAAACAAGACACGTTTAAGTTTTCGATTGGTGAACAACATTTCACACACACACAGAGACAGATAAAGACAAACACACATGTATACACTCACCGCTCGCAATTTACAAAGTTTCAATGCTCTTAATTAAGTTTCGTTTCTATTTTTATGTCTTAATCAATTTCAATTTAAATTTCAATTTTGTTCCTCGGCTCCATGTGTTGCGCGCCTTAGCCGCCCGTGTCGCATTGACCCGAAGAACGCCGCAAGCGCCACCTGTCGCCAACTGCTGTTAAGCACAATTAGGTTTAAAGATGCGCCCAGAGGCTTTTTCCTAAAATTACAAACATAATAAAAAGTAGATTAACCCACATACATACACACACACACATGCAAACACACATTTATATACGAGCACATTTATACACATACAACTACATATATATAAATTACACTTATGAAATATCTATTTAATTATAAACAAATATGTGTTAAGCCAAATATTTTAATGTCTAGAGACAAGATTTGTTGCTTCAATTTTTAGCTTTTGCACGGGGCACGAGGCGACGTTGTCCTTTGTGCCGCCTGTTTCCCTATTTACACTCTCTCTCAACAGATTTGCTTGAAAAATTACAGTCAAACAGAAACAGCGACAACTATTACAACAACAACACCATCACTGCCACAACACTGTACAAGAAACTAGTTCAAGCAAAGTTGGGTGTTCTTTTTATATTTCTTCAATGTTTAGTTCTCTAGCATGAAACTTTGTAAATTGCCAGACAGGTAGAGCGTATATATACATCTATAGAAACAACACACATATATACTTGTATATATATATTCATATAGATATATATAAACATATATATATATATCAATATATATAAATGAAAATGTCCCCTCTGTACACTCCTTAAACTTAAACGTTTTCACACCCAATTGTAAATTATGTGACGATGAAAAAAGAAAACAAGAGAAATAAGAAAAGAAAATGAAAGAATTATACAAGTAAAAGCAAAAAGAAATTTGTAAAATATTTAAATTATTTAGCGTCTAATCAATAATTCATGTACATGTAAATACAGTTTAATTAGTGTTTAGCGCGTATTTAGTTGTATGTTTTAAAACTAAACTCTGTACATTATATAACACGATAAACAAACAAAAATATATATATATATAAATATTACGATTATGAGAAAGAGATCAGAGAAGTAAAAAAAATCGCAAGAATAAGAGAAAAAAGTAAAACCATTTTTGTCAGTAAACACAAGAACAGAAGAAACGCTATTGTTTTAAGACATTTTTAGTTATTTTTAAGTTAATTAATGAAAAAACGATAAAATTACACTTATTTCTAAGTGAATTAATAAACCAATTCAATAAACTTTTTCTGTTAAATGATTTGTTTTATTTATTTTTTCAACTAATTCAACGTTAACCCAACGTCCAAATCGAGTTCGTTCACAATAGTTGTTGGTTGATCGATGATAGACCGTTATCAGCCCACAAGATCCACTAACGAAATGCAACTTATAGTATATATACATATATAAAACAAGACACAAATATATATATATAGATACATATATATATATATAGATGTTAATGTTATACCTGTAATTAAATAAATTCTATACCTATGCATTATATGTGAAAGTTTTGTTGATATTTGGTTGGCGGCTAATGGAAAGGCGACTTCTTGGCATATCAAAAAGTAAGTGGAATTCAAAAACTAACTCATATTCGAACAGTTTGATTATTTTGGGTATTATATTTTCGATTTAAGCAGAAATAACATCAAAACGAGGAAGTGAGTTCAATATATTAATAATACATTACATTCGTTAAAGTACATATATTATTTGAAATCAAACTACTGTTCTCTTTTTAGGAACACATTTAACTTTTAATTTTTGGGAACAGTTTGATGCACTGTTTGAGTCTTTTAACAGTTGGCTGTTACTGCTATTGAAAATTAACAGCAACAGCTGTCCTGCACACATTTCATGTTATCGATATACAATCGAAATAATCAAAGCAAAAAACTTTGGGCTCACTGATTATTAAGATTATTATTGTTAATAATTAGATAATAGTAAATAAACCTAGTTGTATCTTCAAGCAAGTTGCATTCAAGAATGTCCAGTCTACTTCAGCAAGGTAAATGCTCGTGTTTCCCGCACGATTGATGGCAGCAGCAACAGCTGTATGATTATACAATTCACTCATTTATGCGCCACCCATTTGCAGGCCTGCCTCTCACATCGGCTCGTGGGCCGCTATTGCAGTTTATGCGTTTTCGCGGAAAAATAAATATACAACGTCCAAAGCAGCCGCATTATGAGCGTGCCCGCGTCATGGCCGTCACACAACCCAAATATCCAGAGGCGCCAAAGGCTCTTACCTGTTTTCAGTCACGAGCAGACCGGACGGGCGCTCAGGTGGAGAATCCCTACAATGCGATCATAGCACGTGAGGTGCGCAACTGGCTAGATCACTCCAAGCTGGTGGCGATCTTCCACTTGAACTCCATAACGGCAGACGAGATCTTTCGGGTTCGCGTGCAGCTGTACAAGCAGAACTTGCACCTCAAAGCCTACGGTCGGAAGATCATTGCACAAGCTGTAGCCGACAGCCAATACGAGGCTATTTTGCCACTGTTCCACTCCAACCATTGTATTGTGTTCTCGCCCGATCAACAGCGAGTGGGTGCACTGCTTCGAATCACACGGAAAGTGCCACAAATGGTGTTGCTGGGCGGCATTGTGGAGCAGAAACTGCTCAGTCGCAACGAGCTGGTGCACTTTGCACAGATGCCTGGACTGCAGGCGGCACAGGCGCAGCTGGTGCAGACTCTGAACATGGCGGCGACCAACGTGGTGCAGCAGCTCCAAGCACATCAATGCAATCTAATCAAAGTGCTGGACGTGCACGCCAAGGGCGATACAACAGAAAAGCAGGAGCCGGAGCAGGCAAAGGAAGAGGAAAAGCAGACATAAGTTACACGTTTAATTAACAATAACAGCGAAAAGAAAATAATATTCCTCATTTGTCTTTCATACTACATATAAATTAAAGCTTATCAACTAGATTGCACTTTTCCAACGGCCTGGAATGTCGTCCTAGGAGCTTATTGTGGCTGCCATATGATGTTGCCAACGCTGTCTGCAGTTAAAGGCCAAGTTAGCTAACGCTTCGGCGGCATCCAGTTCGTCCTTGTGATGCAGCAGCCAACGTTCGCCACGTGCCGCAGCAGTGGCCTCGCTAGTGAACAGCATCTGGCTCTGCACGGGCCGCTCCTGCCCAGCGCATTTGTGCCTAAAGATAGATAATATGTTGAGTATAGATCAGCAATCAATGTACTATCTCGATGGTTTACCTGCTCGTATTCCACTCGAAATGATAATTGTGCCTGTCCGGCGTGAATCTGGCCGCACTCTCCAGCCACTTGTTTAGCTGGTTGCCAGTGCTGTCACTGGGAGCCGTCGACCCACTCGAGTCCAGGGCGTTGCTGTCCCGCAGATATTTCTCCATCATCTGCTGCTTGTACTTTGCCTTGCCAGCCGGAACAGTGGGCAACATGGGCACGCGCTCACTTTGCTGCTGATGGACCTGCTGGTGCTGCATCTCGGATTCCACATAGAAGTTGGGCTTGTATGGCGGCGAGGAGTAGCTGGAGGTGGCATTATTGCCATTGCCGTCGCTGCCTGTGCTGCGGCTGGACAACTCGTCGTCCTCGTCATCGCCCTCGTCATCTTCGGCTGCACACACACGCATGTCCTCCTCCCAAATGCTATCCTCGGACGAGATGCTGAACTGCTCCACATTGCCCCGTGCATTGTGATTGTAGTTCTTGATCAAATGTCCCCAGGATTTTTTCGCCTTTTCACGCTCCGAGTTTTTTAGTTTGCGCCGCCAGTTGGCAAACCAATTGCAGATCTGTGTGTACGTCAAGCCCGTCTCTCCGGCCAGCTGCTTCTTCTCCTCCCGACTTGGATACGGATTCTCGCGTCGTCGTATCAGCCAATCCTTCAGCATGCGCTTGATGTCGGGCGTGAAGAGGCGTTTCGCAGTTCGCGGCAAATGCAAATCATCCTCTGGTGGCCAGGCACGTCTGAAATTTCAATTGTTCGACATAAGCTGCGATAGAATTCTTTTTTACTCATCTCTTCTCCCCCACTCACCTGCTGTGCCGACGATTACGCTTGGGGCGACACGATTTCTCCATGGCTACGGGCTGTAATTAGAAGATGTATATTTAAAATAAATGATCATGCTCATCGTAAACAATTCCCCTGCCCCAGGCTATTGCTCATCCATAATTAAGCCAATCGACCCGAAATACGCTGTAAGGCGAATTTCAGTTTCAAAACTTTTTCTGTTTTTGGGTGGGTGGCGCTATTTCTGTCCACGAATGCCGAACAGAATTTTCATGTTTTTTGCCGTTGTTTTCACTCGATAAAAAAAAAAAAATAAAATAAGAAACGATTTGACAGTGTCAGAGTAAAATTTTGAGAGCCAATGTGTGTGTGGGAGAGCTGAGAGATGGCGTTGGATATCACACGATCGAATGAGCATGATCTCTATAAAGGGCGTAATGTCGTGTAAATAGTTGGCATGCGAATCAAGAACCGATTCGTATTCAATTTGCATGCTCTGAGCACAATAGCTCGTATCACTTTTTGTTGTTTTTCATTGATAAAACTCGGTGGCCATGTTTTTCCGTAGATAGATCAGCATATATATATACATCTGTTATGTACTATTTCTAAAGATGAAAAAAACTATATAAAATGTTGCTGCACAGCCAATGCTGAAGTGCAGAGATCATTTTCGAGTTCCATCATCGCTGGCATTTGGTGTAAGTTTTGTTGACATTATTGGGTATTATATAATCCCAGCATAACACAGAGGAACAATAGATTTGTTTCCTCTCTTTTTATAGTTTATTGTCTGTTTGCACTAATTTGATCTTTGGCTGCTTTCAATGGCATTTCGTATTTGAGATTTGCCAAATTTAATTTAAGACCTTGAGGCATTAGGTCAGCAGCCAGCGGGCGACATGGATAAATTCACCCACCTGTGAATATTCAATTTCAATTGTCCTAAAATGCTTTTTCTTCCCTCTTTTCCTGAACAGCGCGAAAAGTTTTGAAAACGTTTTGAACGTCGAACTCGCAGATTGCACACTGAACGCTCGTCCAAAATTTGTTCAAAAACTGCCAGAAGATTGTTTTCGAATGTTCGTACGAATTTCGATTCGGGCGCCATTCGGGAAAAACGAAACGGAAAAACTTGCACTTATCACACACACACACATGAACGCACAGCGCAAACGAATGGGGCACTTTTAATCTATTTACAAAACTCGAGAAAAATATGTGTGGTACATACATACATACATACATACATAATACCGCCGATTTTCGAAGAATCATCGAACGTGCCTATTCCGGCATACACTACCAGGCTATCAACCAAAAGTTGTTGACGCGATCATTAGCGATTGAGTGTCATATGGCCCAATTGTGTAGAGTGTAGAGTGCACAAATTTACTTTCGCTCTCGATCAATTGGTAGCGAGCAGTTGGCCATGATGTGACTTAAATTAAATTGTGTTGCAAGTTATTTCAAAACATTTATAAATATGCACAATAAAAATGTGAGGCATATTATGTCAATGAAAGATTTCTGTTCAGAATGCAAATAACAAGCTGTGATAATGGACAATAACAAAACCAAATTAATAGAATATGTAAATGTAAAAGATTTACGTTCAGAATGCAATAAGCTGTGACAATAATAATAGAAAATTATCTACAAAAATATATATGCCCCAAGAATAGAATTTAATAATAAATACAATTTCAATTTAGAGTGTCAATTGCAATAAAACGAATTTTCGTTTTGAATTTTAGTGCGATAAAATATAAATATTAAAACAAAATTAATGCCTTAAGATCTTTTAGGTTCATGTAAAACAATGCATACCGTCAAAATTTGAAAAAAAAAAAAAAAAAAAAAAAAAAAACGGAACAGGAAACTAGAGCTGCCACTGCACTTCAATAAATACCAAATAATTGCTTACATTAATCTGGCGACTATCGCTAAAAACTTTTCATGAAGTTGGCAGCTCCGCAATTATGCAGTGTGTACACACAATATTTCGACTAAAATTCAATTGTTTATATCTAGAACGTAATAATTCGCTGAAAAATTTTTATTGCGACTCTTTGCAACTAAATCGAAACGGCTGGCCGCTATGAACGAATCGGTGCGCTATGAGCGCTGCCAGCAAATACAGCTGGGCGTGCTAACCGAGTCCCAAGAGGGTATCAGAGCCTCCGAATCGGATGTACCACAGGGCATTGGTAACGTAAGTTAAACGTCTCTGCCCCTGAAAGTCTTTGTTCATTAACACTGACTCATTTAATCGTATTAACTGCTCTCGTATTTGTCAATTGTGTGCAGGTGCTGTGCACCCACGATGGTGTGCTGCTGAAGAAAGCCAATGCCGAGCACATTGCCGAGCTGAACACCAGCGGCTCCTTGTCCTTGGTGGAGTACAGCCAGCCAAGGCGTCGTCTATATCTGGAGTGGCAGCCGAACGATAGCATAATGATAGCCGACGATAGCCAGGATCAGGGCGATTGGGCGCTAGTTGACAGAATCTCGGGTCGCACACGCACCACATCCGAGTGCAGCGCCTTCAACACAAAGCCTGCAGAGATTGGCAGCAATGGGAATGCGGGAACTGCGCGCGCCCGGATAATGCGCGCACTATTAGATGATTTGGCTGCCGTTGAGGTGCGGCATCGGGGTCAGACAATACGATTTATGCGTAAATCCGATCACGGCGTACACTGCGAGTTCTTCTTTCAGCATGGAAACGCAGATCTATTTGTACGATCCATGCGGCAGCAGCATTTCATCGAGAGCTCCGAGACGAGTCGCAGTGGCAGCGAGGAGTATGCCATACTCAACACGGAAAATCAGAAGCTCAAAAAGACCTTCGCCGAATTGGACATTGGCGAAATCAAGGCTAGCCAGCTGCCCCGGGAGAGCTGGCTGCCCAATAAGCTGGCCGGCTTTCTGGGCACCATACCGGACTATGTGCAGCCATCGTTTCAGCGATCCCCGAAATCGCGTCCTGGTGCGTTAGTGCACAACGATCGGCAGACCTCGCCCTCGGACAACTATCAGTTCATCAAGCTCAGTGGCAGCACGAATAGCGCCTGCTCCTCGAACAGCCAGAGTCGTGGTGAGAGCGCCGACAAATCGCCAGCGGACAGTGAACTGGAGAACCTAAATGCACAGGATGAGAAAATAGTTAACAACCTGCCAGCACGCCAGAGCGTGCATCGCGGTACGCAGTCGCTAGTTAATGTCGAGATCCAACTGAATTGACAATGATTTTCCATTTTAGGTCAACCGCTCAATGAAGCTCAGTGGCGGGAATTTCAAACCCGTGATGGCTGCATCTCGGATAGCCAACGCATCAAGGAGATCATCTTCCGAGGTGGCATTGTGCCCAGCCTGCGTGCCGAGGTCTGGAAATACTTACTCAACTATTATCAATGGTCTGACACGGAAGTGGAACGCATTGAACGGCGCAAACTAAAATCGTTGGAATACTACAAAATGAAGGCTCAATGGCTTTCGATGTCCACGGCTCAAGAAGCCAACTTTAGCGGCTATCGCGATCGCAAGTGCCAAATCGAGAAGGACGTAAAGCGCACGGACCGAACCCAATCGTTCTTTGCCGGCGAAGATAATCCAAATTTGTTGCTACTGCAGGGCATACTAATGACCTATGTTATGTACAACTTCGATTTGGGCTATGTCCAGGGTATGTCTGACCTGTTGGCGCCCATACTCGAGATTCAAGTGAATGAGGTGGATGCCTTTTGGTGTTTCGTCGGCTTCATGAACATGGTGTTCACTAACTTTGACATTGATCAGGCCGGCATGAAGACACAATTCGCGCAACTGCGCCGATTGCTCGAGGTGGCCAATGCGCCGCTCTTCAACTACATGTGCAGTCACGAATCGGACAACATGTACTTCTGTTTCCGCTGGCTGCTCGTCTGGTACAAGCGGGAGCTGGACAACGAGGACGTACTCAAACTGTGGGAGTGCCTGTGGACACGTCTGCCTTGTCCCAACTTCCATTTGCTATTCTCGGTGGCCATACTCGATCAGGAGACGAACGTGATTATCGATAGGAAATACGAATTCACCGAAATCCTTAAGCATGTCAACGAACTAACCGGCACCATCGACTTGAAACGCACTCTGGAAACAGCGGAGGCCATCTATTTGCAACTAAAAGGATCTGAGGCGTTGCCCAACGATATACGCCACATCATTGGCGAACCATTGCTGCCGCCAGTGGATGGCGAGGTGCGGCCGGAGGAGGAGCCTGCCTACTCGGACGATGGCTTCGATGAGCTGGGCGAGCTAACGCCTGAGGAGAAGCGTCGCAATGATGAGCTGCTCGAGGAGGCGTTAGAGCGATCCTTATATTTAAATTATATGTAGGAACGAAGCCAAAACTAAGCCGAGGGCTACCATATGCGCAAATTTGATATATATGTATATTCATATATATAGCCTTTAAGACTCAAAGTTTACTATCGTGTCGAGGTGATGTACCCCTCTTTGTGTCGAGGCGGGGGACGCCACTGTTAAAGTGCTTTAACTGCTAATGCACCGATTTATATATTGTATATTATACATGCATATATTTGTACGTTTTTTGTATTTATTGTAAGTTCTTATCCCCTCATCCCCACATCCCCATTGGCTTAAGCGATCGGCATAATTGAAACGATATTTGAACAGCGAAATTAGAATTAGACCCATGTCTGTATGTCAATTTCTAAATTGAAATTTTGATTTAACGCAATGCTAAAAGCAGCTTTTGTTGCCTCTAATTAAGTTTAACTCAATTACTGTGAATATACAAACAAGCATATATAAATCTATCAATTGCGTAGTAAACAACCAACTGATGTCTCATTCTTTCGAGGGTTACTTAAATGGGGCGGCAATCAATTTGTTCTGGCAGCGATACGGGGGATATAGAGTTTACAAATATTTGAACTCTTCTCGATTGTTACTCAATTTCGAATTTGAAATTGATGCTACTGTAATTGAAAATCCAAAATAGCCAATACTTTCCAAAATATGATTTAATACTTTAAAAACTCGAGTTTGCATAACTCCGAACTTGGCTCAAAAAATTCAAGTAAAATGTCTTCAAATCAAATTTGAAAACAGACTTCGGTTCTCAATGAAAAAGTCAAAATATTTTTGTAATTTTGGAAATTTATTTTTCATATATTTATCTTGTTGTTGCTGTAGTTGTGTTTGTTTAATTATCATACTTTAATTAAGATTTATACTTAGCATCTCTAATTTAAATTGTTATTTGCTCTTGTCTGTTGGTGCAACTGCTTTTTTTTTTTTGTTTTTTTTGTTTCGTTTATTAAATATTTTTGTTTTGTTTAGTTTAATGGATCGAAGTGCAAACAAAAAAATGTACTTCCATTTAATTTATATATATAAATACATATATATATCATGAAAATGCAATACATGTACGCATAAATATTGTATTTCAAATTGTTAAACATCCTTTTTTTTTTTCTTTTATATATCAATTTTGTTTGCTGATTTGTTGTTGTTGCTTTGTTTCAATTCATTTTTAAAAACATACAAAATACAAATTAAAAACTTACACAATATAAAATTGTTTTACTAATTACATAAAATTAAAATTAATAAAAATTAAAAGCGATTTGACGACAATGTCAATATATATATGTATGTATATATATGTGTATAAATATTCATATATATAAATGTGAATATGCATGTGTATATACATACATAAATATATATATAGAACATGCAGAGTACATAGAATAGTTTAACATAGGCATAGGACGATATCAAGTTAAAAAAAAAACATAGTTTGGATTTAGGTCACATACACACACACATATTCATTGCAAAATATATATATAAATTGGAAACAAATTGGTTGAGAAATACATGAATTGGGACACTGATACAATCCGACTTGATACGATTAAAGATCCATTAAAGATACTAAAATATGTACAGGTTGTTTTTTTTTTTTCTTTTTTGTTGTTTTTGTTTTTGTGATTAAGTTTAACTCTTGTGAAGGACGACAGCATTGAACC